ACCAAATGAGAATATTGTGACCCTTTCTGTGGGGGATCAGAAGGCCCTGGGCCACGGATGAGCATTTTGTGCTTTTAGCCATAAGCTTGTTTCTTGCTCTGATTTAGGAGACCATTGAGGAAGTTGAGGAGATGCTGAATAATCTCCCTGGGGTGACTTCAGTTCACAGCCGTTTCTATGACCTCTCCAGCAAGTACTACCAGACCATTGGGAACCATGCCTCCTACTACAAGGATGCTCTGCGCTTCCTGGGCTGCATCGATGTTAAAGATCTGCCAGGTAACTCTTCCTTTGTGGCCAAACATAGCCCCCATTTTCATTTTTCATTCCATGACCTCCGTCTAAATAAATGCACCGACAGAGTGTAAATTTTTTTCTCAATGTTATTTTGAGTCTGTTGTAGTTAGACCAGGATCTAGCTACAGAAACCCATGAGGGGAATGAATGAGCAGGATTCTGCTCCTAATTCTACCCTGTGATGGGAGGCAGTGTCCTTGCCAGATGGGACAGGTTATTCTACCCTAGCCCATTCTGTCTAGTTTCATAAAGTTGCCTTTTTGTGTTATACTATGGTTCCTGCAGGTTTTGAATTTCGGGCTTGGGAGTGAGGGCTGAGAAGGGTCAAGGATGATTTAATACAGGCACAGGAAGGAGGGCAAAAAAGGACCTGATGTAGGCTGCTGTTTCATCCAGACTTTTCTTTCCCTCTAGTATCAGAGCAGCAGGAGAGAGCCTTCACCCTGGGACTGGCCGGGCTTCTGGGAGAAGGTGTTTACAACTTTGGGGAGCTGGTAAGTTAACTCTGGTTTGCTGCAGCCGTTGGGCATCACAAGTGGATTTTTAGCCTGTTAACACTTGTCCTGCTTGGATTCTTGCAGCTCATGCACCCTGTTCTGGAGTCCCTGAGAAACACCGATCGGCAGTGGCTGATTGATACTCTTTATGCCTTCAACAGTGGAAATGTAGAGACATTTCAGGCTCTAAAGTCAGCGTGGGGTCAGCAGGTGAGTGAATAACTTGCTCATGACATTCAAGTAAGACTTAGGCTTAATATTTACAGACGCTGTTTAGGAGTTTCTTAAGACACCTAGCTTAAATTTCCTGAACTAGGTGCATTAGTGCAGCCATAACTGTTGCATAGTGATGCTTTTTTCCTCTTGTGTCTTCAGTTTTCTTTTGGCTTTCTTGCTTGAAAGAAGTGAACAAGGGAAATTCCTTGTAGCCAAGGGAAAAGCCCCAAAAGACAGTACGCAGCTCTGGGCAGGAAGATTGTCTCCAATCTAATATCCACAACGCCGTAATTGCCATGATATTAAATTGCTTTTGCTGCCTTATTTTTCCAGGAAATTCAAGGAAGCTGTGAAGTTGGATATTAGCTGCAGTGGCTGTATCAGATATTGCTGACGCAGCAGTGGTTTATAGACTGACTTTTGTGTGAACTTGTGCGGGGCTGTAGCCTTCAGTATAACCTTGCCTACCTTGTAGAGTACTGCTTTTAAGTACACAGTCTTTACTGGTAGCTCTATGGAATCATTGCCCAGTAGTGGGTAGGAAAGGATGGCCTCTCATTAATGAGGACAGTGGGTACCACTGTATTTAATAGTGGCTCATTCCTCCAGACAGAATGTCGCCCTTTTATAGGGCGAGGTGTGGAACGAGTAATAATGAACTTATTTTCTTTTAATTTGTCATCTCACAGCCCGATCTGGCAGCAAACGAAGCACTTCTGCTGCAGAAGATTCAACTGCTGTGTCTAATGGAGGTGAGGCGCTGAGCCACGAGCTGCGGGGTGTTAAATGTAGGAAATGAAAATTGCTGCTTTCAACAACCTTCCGACGAGTCCAATTTACTGAAATGGCAAATTCTTCCAGTCGCGCTCCTTCTTTTGCTGTGTTTCTAGGAACTCGTGTGTAACTAGGTAGTACGACTGCAAGTTTTGTCTCTAGGGGGTGCTAAATGGCAAGTACTGCTATGGGAGGGGAATTTAAAAAAGCTCCATGCTGCCTGCTTGCAGTTTCAAGGATGTGCAGGCAGGGTAGGGAGGTGGGGAAGGAGGGAGCAAGTGGTGTTTCTGAAGACAGCATCTGAAATGATAGCTCTTCAATATGATGGATTATAACAAAGATTCCTACAACACACTTAAGTTGAAAACTTAGTCTCTTAAAGACAAAAACTTTGTCCATGTGAGGTAACTCTACATGTTTAAAACAATTTCTTTCTTGTTCCTTGAAGCCTCTGTGACTCTGGATCTGTTTTTTTTTTTGTTTGCTTGCTTTTTTTTTTTATGCAGTGTCAATGATCTGAATCATCTGAAGCATAATGCATGCTTTTATACACACATGTGCATATATATTCATCCCAGTTCCAGCATTTTACTTTTAACTACTCTTATTACCTCTAATACGTTGTGCCAGAGATTGCATAGGCACAGAGACATTTTGGCACCAACTGACCTGCTTTATTTGGAGATTAACTTGTCTCTTAGGAGCTCTGCTGTTTGGGGGGCTACTTTCTGCTAGGATGGGTGAGGGCATTTTTTGCTGAAGTACTGCGGTATTAAAACGAGGAATGTAGTTGATACTGCAGTGTGAGAGCCCAGCAAGGGTGGCAGCAGGGAAGCTGTGTGCGCTGCAGGAAAAAAAATAAGAAAAGTGGAGGTTTATCTTTGTTTTGCCTTTTGTTTGCTTGAATTTAGATGACTTTCACCCGACCGGCCAATCATAGGCAGCTCACTTTCGAGGAGATTGCAAAGAGTGCCAAAGTCACTGTGAACGAGGTGAGTTTAGTCGTAGTTGGTGATAAATCTCTATGTTCTGAAGCTCTGAAAGTTTCCAAATAAACTCCGCACTTGATTGTACTTCATGCAAGTCTTGTGGCCCGTCTAGGTCTCTCTCTATGGTAGCTCTTCTCTCCAGCACGTCTTCCCTCCAGCCCAACTTGGTATCACCTGCAAGCTTGACGAGGATGCAGTCAGTGCTGTTATCCGGCTTGTTCATAAAGTTACCTACCAACTAGGTAGTACCAAAATGCCAAATGACTCCAGAAAAGCTGCATTTGTGACCAGCTGTGTGTTCAGCTTTGAGCTGCTGACCAAGCCCAGCAGTTCAGCAAGTTTTCTATCTGTCTGGTTCCAGGTGTCCAGTCTGTATCTCAGCAGCTTGTCAGCAGGCTGTTGTGGGAGGTCTCGTTGATTGCCTTTTTAAAACCCTTACGTGACAGATGCAACTTTCTCCTTGTCCACTGGGGAAGTTGGTTCATCTTTAGAAGGCAATTGGATTGTTCAAGCCCAATTTACCCCTGGTAAACCCATGTTTTTCCACTCACCTTGTCCTTAATGGGGTTTCAGATGTCCTAAAGAAATCTGCAGTCCTGTATATTTTGATGTCAAGTCTTGAGGCAGTGTAATAACCTATAAGAGATAGACTGCAGCTCTTAGTTTTTGTGTAGTAACCACTATTCTGCGTGCTGAGTCCCCTTAAAGGTCTCCTCGTGGGGGGAAGTGGGTGATTCTCTGTTCTTTTCTCGCTTCTAGGTGGAGCTGCTGGTGATGAAGGCGCTCTCGGTGGGGCTGGTAAAAGGCAGTATTGACGAAGTGGACAAGAGGGTGCACATGACGTGGGTGCAGCCACGTGTGCTGGATTTGCAGCAGGTAACGATCCACTTCAGTGCTAAGTCTGTGTTAACTTGAGGGTGGTGTTTTTGTATCTGAGATGACCTGGAAATTGCAGTAAGACCTGTTAAGGGTCGCTGCCTGTGAATTTGTCTCGTTATGCTTCCCAATTCCCAGAGTTTCTTCAGGAGGTGTTGCCAGTTCTTACACTGTTTTACTTGGCTATATAGTGTGCTTTGTAACCATGCTAAGCAGTAAGAAATCACAAATTCGTCAGCAGGTAGGATAGGATTTTGGAGGTGCTTCTCCAAGAGCCATCCAAACCGCCAGGAAATATGAATACTTGCTATGAATGCTGTTTCTTTCCAGAGGGACGTGGGTGCTTGGCAGTTACCTCAAAATTTAAGGAATGAAACAATCTTTAGATCTTTACAATCTTCTGGTTAGTAGGTGGGTAGGAAGAAAAGTTCAGAGTGATGGAGATGAAAGGTGCTGAGCTTCTCAAGTTCATCTTTGTGACACACATGTTTTAGGAGACTGAATAGGGAGGGTGCTCTTTGCTTTTAAAAACTGCTAGCTTAAAAAAGCTAGACCAGCTTTTAAAAACTGCTAGTCCATGTACTGCTAGCTACAAATAAATCCTTTTGTGCATTTCAGTCTAATTCAAACCATTATAGTCCCGATGGTAGAAGATGCCAAGCATCCTCTGGAGATGCACGGGGTTTTGAGAGGCTATGCTGGATCTCAAGCCGTTGCACTTGCGGGGGAATTTATGTGTCTTTAGTATTTGTGCCACTGAAATCCCTGTGTGTTTGCCTTCCAGATCAAGGGGATGAAAGACCGCCTGGAGTTCTGGTGCACAGACGTGAGGAGCATGGAGATGTTGGTAGAGCACCAAGCCCACGACATCTTAACATAGAGGACCTTGCGCTGCGCTGAGAGGGGAATTTTTTACTGCTACTGATGCTAGTAGCCCTCAGACCACTGACTCTGTTCCGAATCACGTTGAAGGGGGGTGGGTGGGCAGAGGAGAGAGCAGCATTTTTGACGCTTGTCCGGAGGAGTAAGTAAGTGGCCTTTTGCTGTGTAACCTTTTTGTGCTTGGAGTCCAGATTTCCCTACATGCCGACACTGACCCTGGGAGCTCCTGTCCTTCCTTGTCCAAGGAGGGCAGAGGCTCCGCGGAGGCCGATTTAGCAGCCTTGCTGTGGAGCTCCTTCGGGAGCGCGTAACGCTGCTTACGCGTCACCGAAGTGGAGGCTGCTTTCGCAGGAGGATGTGGTGCTGGTCCCATGCTACACAAGTGGTTGTTCTCCAGGTAAAGGGGTGGCAGAAGCTTCTCTATAAAAATATATATATATATGTATATATATATGTTCTAGAGTGGTGCCTGAACATTGTATGTGGTATTACTTGGTAGTATTGGCCTTAGGAGGGTATGTCCTTCCCCTGGTAACCTCTCCTCCCTGCGCCAAAGGCATTACCCAAGTCATATTCCTCCTGGTGGCCCTCTTTCTCCACAACCCCCCATCTGCAGTAGAGGGAGTGTTTACTCCATCAAAGGGTTGGGGTTTTGGTTTTTTTTGTTTTTTTTTGTTTTTGGGGTTTTTTTGCTTTGTTTTGTTTTTCTCCAGGATTACAGTTTAGTGGATTTGTTTTTATATACTTTTTTGGGGGATAGCTGTCTTTTATGAACACTTTATGCTAAAGTGAGGTGCAGCAATATTGCTGTATTGCTGGAATAAACTTCTCTGCCTTCCCTTTTCTGTAGTTCTGGTGGTGCTTTCATCCTAACATGCAGCTGTGGGTCTGATTGATCTGGGTTTTCTTGCATTTTTTTTAAGAAAAAAAAAAAGACTTCCTGTTATTTTCATGTTACAACTTTCTACCCAAGAACAGAGAGGTTGAAACAGTCTGTTTAAAAAACAGCACGTTAATATGTCACTTACTTGTCCCAATACCTTAGTATGTAATTTATTAGCAAGTTCATGTTGTTGGTTTTGTTTTGTTTTTTTTTTTTTGTGGGAAGCTGTACTCCTGATGCCCTCTCTCAAGAACTAGTAAACAAAAATGCCCAATTCAATACCGACATAACAAGTTTTTGTTCTGCTTTTGTCCGTTAACAATTGCCGCTTTAAAAGCTCTGCTATAATGAAGTGCTCTCACTGTACTGCTGCATGATCACCATGACAGGATGGTAGTAACAGCCAACCACATTGAATAACTTTAAACTGAGCAGGGTAATACTCGCAACCTGGGTGTCTTGGGATGTAACTGGGCTTTATTTTAAGTGCTGGTACCATTATATTGATGCACAGTTCTCAGATTACAGCTGGATTACTAGCAGTGGATTACTGCTAGAATGCTGTCTGTGTGTGAAGGTGCCTTGGGCAAGGAAGATCAAAGCTTTTGAAAGCAAAAAATTAAATAAAGTGTTTTTTTTTTTTTGACAGGAAGGGGGTTTGTACAAATGCTCCTTTTTTAGTAGTGTCATGTCACTATGTCATTACACCTTAGGAGTAAAGGAAGGGCTAACAGTGAAACGAAACTAATGCATCTTAGGGCTGTTACTGCTGTAAACCTGGGGCATTACTATCGAAGTAGCTCTCAAAATACTCATGGGGACGGGCTTTATCACTCCCTTTCTGTGTAGGGAGTGCTAGTTGGCATGTAAATTTTTGAGCAGCTCATTGAAGTGAGTGTGACGATCTTGAGACTAGGTGAACTCTGTGACTTTAGTGCTGCTTGCTGCCTTGTGTATGGGGGCAAGTGCTGGCTTTCCACTTGCCCAAAACAGCTCCTTGGGCTCACAGAAACAAGAGAAGTCAGCTTGACAGGAGACCACTTTAAAGACCACTTCGTTTCTGAGCATTTTCTTTACAGGGATTTAACTCCCTTCCCTTTTGTGCTGGTGCTGTGGGTGGTTCCTCAACCCCTACCCTACGTTTCACAATGAGTGCACCAGGTAAGTAAAAACTCAAGAAAACTGGGCCTCCCACGTGGAATCTGCTGCAGCCTTTTTTTCCCCTTTGGGGCAGCGTCCTGCCTGACCGAACAGGATTGCCAATTCATTCTTTTACGAACAAGCCCCGTCCAAGCAAAACCAACAGGCCGTTATGCTTAACAGTATTTTAATCAACAAACTTAAGGAGCTCTTCAACAGAGAAAGATTGGGTTTGTCATCTTCACTCAAACTTCTGCGCTCAGCTGGCTCTTCTTGCCATCCCTTACTCTGGTCTGCTCTTGTAGTGCTCCAGGTTTGCCAGGACCCAGGCCGATGGGATCAGGAAGCTGGCAAACATCACGGAAAGCGCGATGGCTTGCTCCTGCCAGCAAGAAAAGGAGGAAAAGGAACGGTGGGATAGCTGTGCTACAACGTCCTCACCCGTGAAATACCTAGGCCAGCTCTGTAAAATGCAGTGGGTCAAGTGCAACCTCCTGCTCTCCAGGTGCTTTCCGGCTCCCACCGCTGTCCAATGGAAGCGGGAGGGCAGTTTGGGTGCTCCCAACCGCTTCCCCCAGCTGCGGATCGGAGCGGCTGCTCTTCAGGCTTCTTTCCATTGCTTTGTATTTGTGAGTCTGGTGCCAGGGCTGCCACCAGGGCAGGATGTGGCCTCCCCTTCCCACGCAGCCGCCTCGGGCCCGGGCTGCCCCGTTTCCGAAGGCAGCCGGTGCCTGACTTTGAGCTGACTTCGAGCGGCCGAGAGCCGCTAAAAACAGCATGAGAGCAGCTCCTGTGTTTCTGGGGGCTGAAATCCCCACTGGATTTCTGCCATAAAACTCCTTATTTATTTGTGTATGTATACCTATGTATGTATATCCAAATTTATTTTTTCCTCGTAACTTCTCCCAGATGCAAGAGGAAAGCAGCCGCGGAGGCTCCCCGCACCCAGAGCGGGGGCCGTGCCCGGAATGGCGGCAGGGGCGGGTAAGGAAGAGGGCAAAGCTCATGGAGGATCCCGGGCTTTGCCGCGGTGGTTGCACCTCCTCTCTCGCGGTGCCCCATGGGGACACTTGGGGCCCGTGTCTGTCCCCGGGGGGAGCAGCACAGGGCCCTGGCCGGTCCCTGTGCGGAGGGGGTGCCCCGAGGCTGTCGCCTTATGCCACAGTGCCATAACCCCGCAACATTTAATGTGAGGGGCCATGGATAAAGAGAAAACAGGGAGAGACAAACTCCCTTTTTATGAGGGATACAAGTAAAAGGAATAACTGATCGGGGGAGAGCAGAGTCCCTCAGCGCCCAGGGAGCAGGTGCCTTCCCTCTTCTTGCCCCCCTTCTCAGCCCGCCGCAGGTCACTTACCGCGGCCGAGAGCGGCTCCCCCGGGGGTTTGGAGGACACCCGCGCGC